CTGCCGCCACCGAATTATTTTCAGAGTGTATACAGGTATATAGGAGACCATTTTATTATTTATATGTAGACTCGCGTTACGCAAAGCAACCATAATACTAAAATAAGTACAGGATATTTAATTTTTAATTTAATATTCAATATTTAATTTTTTATACTTTTGTGACTAAATACTGTGTGTTTTTTAGATAAAGCTAAGTTTTTAAACTTAGTTCTTTGTTTTTGGAGGCCTCATTACTTCTTCTTTGATTATGCAGTGACGTCACATTTTTATAATGTCTTTTGTAATAAATATTTCGTAATTCCAAATCTAGAATTGAGGAATATTTTGACAAATGTAATCGTTAAATTTTCCATTCAAATATTAATTATTAACAAAGTTATTGTATAAAATATAAATAGGGCTATCTTTTGCTTTGTGATTACGTTTATATTAATGAGTATAAAATTATAACACTGATGTTATATTACTTTTGATTGTTATTTACTGAAAAATGGCGATATAGAAAAAAGAATACAATGGAATAAATTGATCTTATAGGCACGTACGCGAAGCAGGAGGAATCTGTATTGCGGATGAAGTTCAAGTCGGTTTTGGAAGAGTCGGCACTCGCATGTGGGCCTTTCAATTGTACGGCGAAGACGTTGTCCCGGACATAGTTACGCTGGGCAAGCCCATGGGCAACGGTCATCCTGTTGCGGCCGTCGTTACGACGCCAGAAATTGCGCGTAGTTTTTATAATACGGGCATCGAATACTTCAATACGGTTAGTTTAGAAAGATGTTATTAGCATTTTAAATTTGCGTTTTAAAATTGCTGTTAAGATATTTATCTCTGTGACTAAAAATATCCTGTGTAATTTTAGTATGGAGGTAATCCTGTATCCTGCGCAATAACAAACGCGGTAATGGAGGTCATAGAACGTGAGAGTCTTCAGGAGAATGCTTTGAAGGTCGGCAATCATCTGCTCGCAGAATTGAAGAAATTGGCAAAGCGACGGAAGATTATAGGTGATGTGCGTGGCGCTGGGCTGTTCGTCGGCATCGAATTAGTACGCGATAGAATTAAAAGGATACCAGCGACGGCAGAGGCAAAGCATGTGGTATCCAGAATGAAAGAGAAGAAGATTCTTATCAGCAGTGACGGGCCTGACGATAACGTTCTGAAACTGAAGCCGCCAATGGTCTTTACACTCGAGAATGTCAATCATTTCATATCCGTTCTCGATAAAGTACTCGAAGAAGTTGATATCGATTTTGACGAGGTAATTTGCATTTACTTAGATATGCCGCCAATTATAATCTTTATCAAAATAACATACCAATGAAATACTATTTTTTTTTTAATAGTTAAAAGAATTGATATAAAATGGAAATCATTTTTTTCCAATTTTATTATTAAATTTATACACTTGAAAACTTTAAAAAATAATATAGTTTATACATATACATATATAATTATTTCAGGAATCGGAAACTACTACAACTATTATCAAAGCAACAATCTCGTCTATAGGAGTCGATAGAAGTACCGCAATGAATAGCAATGGAAATTCATTATTTGTTCGCGCTAATTAATAACGTATATTATATAAATATTGCAAATATTGAATTTAAGACAATTTTATATAAAAAAAAGTATTATTATTTTTAAGATTAATATTATATTTCTCTTTATGATATATTTTTATATAACTTTATCAGAAATATACATAAATAGAAGTTAACATCATTTTAGTAAAATAAGATAATAACATTAAGATATCATAAAATATATTCAATAACACATTTTTACATAAATGAAATTGTTTATTGATTACAACCTTTCCATAGCAAAATAATTTATTTTGATATAAAATTACATACATATTCAATTTTCTAATATATGTTAGTACAAATTATTCCCTAAATATTTGAA